TAATGTCAATTCATAGTGGGCAAATGATGAAAAAAATCTAACGTCTGAATTTTTTTTAAATAAACAAAAACCAGTTTAAGCCTTGTTTTTAACCAGCCCCGTTACCATGGCAACAGCACTCACCTTAGCCAAAATGTGAGAATAAACCCTTCTGTGGTTAACCTTGACTCTTGCAAAAAACGGGCGCCAAAGCATAAATAGCTTTAAAGTAATGGTGAATTAGGCAGAGGCTCTTGAAAACTGTGTTCGGCCACCTTGATCTGGCACAAAACTGAAAACTGTGATAAACTTACAATACCACGAGTCGTATGTTGGCGACACACATGATCTAGTATCACGCAGCGTCCTGCTTGTGCTCCGTCATTGACTTTTAGTTCAGGTAGGCAGGTTCCAAAGTGTCGGAGCGCTTGTGAGTAATGTGGAACCAGGCCTTCCCTCGGGATTGCGTTTAAACTGTGTCGAACCTTGTAGCACTTTAGTGTTTTGTTTTTTCTTCTTTTAGTTTCCTTGCTGCGTTACGCAAGCAAAAATCAAACTGTTACTTCCTTCGAAAACTGACAAAGAGAGGTTAAACGCACGAGACTTTTGAGCGAAATCAGGACACTGTATAGAGCGGAATATCCCGATTTTCTGAACCTGTAGTTCGTTAGGTGGTAAAACGACAGCGTTCGACTAGGGGGAGGGGGGGGTAAACGACGTTTAATTCGAGTTAGCTGGCCATTTGAAAAAATCGAGTAAACGGGCAATCGGGATTCCAGTGTAATACATTTTTGGTCACAACGTCAAGACTCTAATCAAAATGAACTGTGAGGACGGTAGTGGACTTCTGTTAGAGTGAGCGTGTTTGGGCCTATACTATCTCTTGAAGACTGTTCACAACCTCTATTTTTCAACACACGCGAAAGGAAAAGCGAGTGAAACAAGCGCGAAGCACGCGGGGACGAGGCGGGGAGGTGAGCCAAGCGTTTTGTGCTGGCGTCCGGTTCTCTCGCGATTCTATCCGCGCGTTCAACGATCGAATAAAAACGTACGAGAAAATAGAGGGCTGTGGACAGTCTGTATCCCTTGCAGTTGTTA